CATCATGTCATCATGTCATACTACCTGGAACCCATCCCTAGGTATTCCCTCCCCAATGCCGCTAACACACAACCCATAAACTCTCCCATATACACATTCTAGAAACGAAAAAAAAATATGCAAGATGCCACCCGTACACTCATGACCCCAAACCCGTATCCGCACCTCATAAGCTCTTCAAGTTCACCCCAACCCTCGCTCATAGAAACAAAGTATTACTTGCCTACGCACCCGCACCCTCCCCCCCAAACACACCCCGCACCCTCCTCCAAATCTCCCTCCCCATCGCCCTCCTCGTATCCTCGGTCCGCATCGCCGCCTCCTTATTCTCGCTCGCCCTCCTCAACAGAAAATTCAGACACTCAGTCGTAGTCCCCCACGTCATACATTTCACTACACTACTCTGCACATCCGCCTTCTTATCCGCAGACTGCACGAGCGCCTGGGAGATCTCGTCCGCCATGCCCTGCAACTGGGCATATGTGAGACGCGGCAGGGACGAGGGCGTAGCGGAGAGCAATTGCTGGGAGCGGATTGCGCGGGCTTTTTGAAGGGAGGCAGCGTTGTGTGTAGCGAGGACGATGTTGACGGCTGGGAAGTGGGCAGCGGGGGTTGTAGGCGGGGAAGGGAGGGCGGCCGTCCATGATTGCGTCAACACGGCTTCGGCGAGGCCGTCGTAGCAGGCGTCTGTGCCCTCTCGCGTCTCCCAGATCAAACCCCGCGGCTCGCTGGCTAGATACGCGCCCCGGACCAGTTTGACGCCGGCGATGTAGCCCTCCTTCTGCGCGGTCGCGAGGTGCTGGGCGAGTCGTGCGCTGATGCCTTTGAGGTAGCATTGGTATGTTGTGAAGACGGTGGCGCGGCCGCGGTCGGGCGTGTTGTATTTCTTCTGCAGGAGGAGGTTCCAGGCCTCGAGGCCGGGGTTCGTGACTTCTTCTTCGGCGCCGGGGAGGAGCACGACGCCTTTTGCGGCAGCTGCGTCGCATGCTGAGGTTATGGCGGACCACATGGCGGGTGTGGCGGGTTGTTGCGTTTTGAGGAGGTGGAGCGCGTGGCGGCCGAGACCGGACCATCTGGGGGTTGGTTGTCAGTGACGGGTTCTGTGATACTGGCTTAGGGGTTGCTATCGCTAAGGCGACGAGGCGATGTGGGAAAATACATACTTGAGACCCACGAAGTCTCCCTCCCGGGCCACGTCGATACTGGCCAACATGCCCTTCTTCCACGTCTCAATCTCCCTCGCCGTCTCCTCAGCCGTCGGCTCAGCTCCACCCAACACTTCGAGCGCAAACTCCAAGATGATGCCATCGTACCCGAGGTCGGTTTTTGCAGCCGCTGCCTTGAAGGCAACCTCGCTGGGTGTCTCTCCCGCACAGAATTGCGCGTAAAATGTCCCCTTGAGAAGCTTGGAAAGCACCGGATTCCGCTCGATGCTCATGAGGTAAGATTTTGAATCTAGCATTCGTCGGAGGATGTTGAAAAGGAGTGTGAGGAGTGCGGGAGAAGAGGACATTCGTGTGATGAGGTATGTTCGCAGGACTGATGATGTGGGTAGTCGGGCCAGGGGTGCGGATGTCTTCTTCGGATGTGAGGGTGTGGGAGGCGTGGGAGAGAGGAGGTGTGGTGAAGAGGATGCCATTGAGGAGGATGGGACAGGAGAGGCGGAGACATTGTTCCGGGAGGTCGAGTGCACGAAGCGGGGGGTTTGGGTGAGAGTTCGGTGGGCGAGAGGGAGAGGGAAGGCTGTGGGGCGGAGGTGGTAGATTCGGGGTGGCATGGTGGTATTTGAGAGTTGTGGTTCTGTGGAATTCGAAGAAGTTGGGGAGTTGGAGCCTTCTAGGAAGTCAAAATGTAGGTGAGCGTCTTCCTAGAGTCAGAGTGTAGCGGTTGCCACCACGCCTTGCCAGTGAAAATACAGCGGGCTTGTTGAACGTTAAGTCTCTCAATTCCCCGCAGTTTGTGCTTTTCTTGTGCAATCAAGCAGACGTGGCAATCACTTTCCTAGCAACGCAGCAGGTCGTCGCCCAGGCCCTTTATATCACCACGTTACCAGATAGTCACGTTGGCCGTCCCATGGTCGCTGCTGTAGTAGGCGCGGCTTTCGTCGGCAATGCACCATGATGCTCGTGCAACGAACAACGTCTGGACGCGTTCGGCGGGCTGAGAATAACCTTATCGGCACTGCAATGTGCCAACTCCAATTGGGTAGAGCGTAGTCAGTACGTGCTGGCATTTGGATGCAGTGCAGTGTTGATTGAGGGGGTGCATGATAGGAGTTGATTATCGTGGGGTGGCATTGGGGGAGGGAGGAATGTGGCGGATGGTTGGCTTGGGATTCATCTTGCTCAAGGCGTCATGGCAGCTCCAATGCCCAACTCGCCAGCACTTCAATTGCTACCTGGAAACACATACCGCTCTACTGACACATCTATTCGAGAGCTATCCAGAGCGAAGCAACCCGACAGCTAAACATCGTCATCATCGGGTACTCCCTTTCGGGTTAGCCGTACTCAGCACAGCTCAAGCGCTGATCCCGCCCCCGCAAATCCTGGGCCGAATGTACCCAGCCGCCGTATGTCTAATCCAACAACACCACAAGACCCGACATTTCTTTTGCGTGACAACACAAAACTCCACTTTGAAGCTGTGCGTTTGGGCCGGTATCGGATTCCGTGTATCGTGGCCAGAACGATGCGAGATATCTAGATGCAGGTGAGATGGCGGGGTTGTGTCGGGGCTGGTTATTGTGGGGTTTGAGCCGAAGGAAGGCGCTTTGTGAGTGAAGGTTTGAGATGGTTGGGACAAGGATATGGATAGTTTGCTAGGTCTATGGAGGATTTCTAGATAAACGTTTGCAAAATCTTCCTTGCCTCACCCTCAGAGAGCATATTCGAAAAAGAAAAACTATTTCCACGCCAGATGGCGAGTAGAAACCCACGTTCTCGCACTTTGGGTGGAGAACGTCGCCACCAAACTGCCCAACACGGATATCGAGAATCCATCGCCGTTGATTACCCTAACTCAAAAGCTGTCTTCCACCCCCTGTCTTCCTTCATCTTCCAGAGTATCTCCCTCTCATAATTTGACCCCGGCCTCCACTCCCTTCCTAATCTGCACCTCAACCAACCTCTTCATCATCTCCTGCTCCCGACTATTCATGCAATTCCCCATCGGAGTCGGCGGTTTGGGCGTGACTCTGAGGTCCCTAACGTGATCGTTCCTGGTCCCTATTCGTGGCAACGCAGTCACCTCCTCATCCTCCTCATCCTCTGTGATCGTCCCCAATCTCATGCCCTCGGGGGGTACCTGAACCGGGCTGTTGAAAACCTGTCCGAAATCAATACTCTTATGATTTTCACGCTGCATCCTCCTCTTCTCCTTCTTGTCCTTGAGCTGTGAGAAGAAGCGTCTGACACGGTTGACCGGAGTTCGCAATGACAAGAACGAAGAAGAAGATGATTGCTGGCCGGTGGATGAGCGAGATGCGTGGGGGAGCTCTACTTGTCTGTGAGTTTAAATGCTAATATGGGCTGGGAAGATATGAATTGAAACGATACCTGAATGCGCAAAGCTGCGGCTCAGCCATTGCTGCGTTCGAGCTCGTTCGAGATCTCGTGCTTGTCTTCGCATGCTGTCGTCGGCTATCTTCTCCATGGTGTACTGGAGGGAGACTTGCTGAGCGAGAATCATGGTGGTTATTTCGAGCAATGAGTGGAGTTAAGAGGATATGCGCTCTTAATCTCGGTGCCAGATATGCGAGGGATGAAGCGAGTATCTTGAGTTGCTAGTTGATGCTCATGCAAGTGTATGCTGTCCGCACCGAGTCCGGTATCCGAGGAGGTATATGGGAGAAGACACTCTGGAAGCTGCGGTTGTTCAAGGTGTCATCTATGATGGAGCACAAACGGGCATAACTATCCTCACCGCCAAAGGGGGTTGCGCTATTGGCTCCTAGGTCTGTTTACGCAAGGGATATGGGCAAGGGAGGTGCACGAGTGGCCAGTTGGTGAGAAAGGGTTCCTTGCGGTGTGTCCACTATCGTGTAAAGAGGTTTTGCACAGTGAAGATGTGGCAGGGTGGTGGAGGGAACAGAGAATATTGTCCGCCCTGTGCAATAGAAACCCGCCCATGTTTACGCCTACGTGGTATTATATAGTGAAAATTAGGCACCCATAGATCATAAATTGTACACCTCTGCAATTCAAGCTGGGCAATGATGTCGGATCGCGTTAGGTTCTCTCGGGTGACGTGAAGCATTTGCCAGTTCCCCAGACAATACGGCGTGTGGGATAGTTTCTACGCTGCTGGATCTAAGCTTCGAGGGCATGAGTAATTGACAGCTGGATAATTCACTAATCTATATATAAGGGCAATGATTGGTGATTTGAAACCTCTCCGCGCAGCGTCTGTCGGGTGCATGCGTTGACTCCGCCGTCAGATGTTCATGCCGGACACACTACACACGGGAAGAGCGATTGCAAAGCACGGAAGGAGCAATGTCTACGCAAGCGCGGGTTATACAAAGCGCGGAATGGCTCCGTGTGCGTCCGTATTTGAATCCAGGGCATTTTAACTAATTACAAAGGGATGGAGCGAAGTGCAAAGAGACGGTGGATGTTGAGTGCGAAGGGGGTTTGAGGCTTGCGCAAGCACTTTGGACTAGGATGAATGCCGATCTTGAGTAGAAGGCATAGGAAAAAAGCTCTTGCGTTAGAGGATGTTGTGTGCACTTCTCTACTGCATATCTATTGAGAATTTTGTTGTAATTAATAAATGTCCCTGAGCCCACGTTGTTTAGTATTGGCTCCGGGAGGCTACGCCCTCGTCTATTCCTTCTGCTCGTAAAACCCCGCCCCTGCCCAACACTTCCGAACCTCGGCAATCGGGATGCGAATGATTCGGGCAATCCCATCCCTCTGATCACAATACAGAATCTTCATTTTGTTGTTCGGCTTTGTACATATTTTAAGTACCAAGCTTTACACGTCACATCCAATCAAGCCTCCTTGGCCAAGTGGTAAGGCGTCGCACTTGTAATGCGAAGATCCCTGGTTCAATTCCGGGAGGTGGCAGATTCGATATTTATTTTGTTTTTGCGAATTCAGTGATCCCATGCATTATATTTTTTATATTTCAGAGTAGGCTTATCATTTTTGGCGGGCTTGCGATAGTGCGAAATTTGCTTCCATTCAATGATTCGTAAATCTAGAGGGAGAAGAACTTTGTCTCATTCCCAAACCGCGATATGTATATGATCGAGATACGAGATGAGAATGGCTATGGGAAGATACGTCGCCCATAAGGTCTCAAGTAAGTAGGACAACGTCAGTCCGACAGCCCTCATTGAACGCTTGAGTACCATATGGAAACGGGATATCATCGTTCAACTTACAGGAGAATATCCAATCAGAAATGACACATGTTCATCACTCACTGCTTCCACGAATGAACTTCGCTTCCAGTCACGTGCAGAACGCGCGCAGAGTGTTATTCATGAGAGGCTCCATATCCAAGGCATCATTGGGGCTATAGAGCTTTTGAATAGGCTTAACCGCATAGCTATAAAAAAATTTACGACGTGTGCTCCAGACGTTTTGGAAGATCTGGTCGCCCTGGAGAGCGTCGTTGATTGAGTAGAAAGTGAGGAGAGTATCTTGAGGGAGCAGCGGAGTGCGACTCTGGATCTCTCGATTGGAATACTGGAAGATGTTGAGGGAGGTAATGACAGAATGGATGAGATTTATGTGATTTTGACTTTGGCTTTGAACGCTTATGCTCGGGGTAGTTCAGTGTGGGTGGCCCGATCATTTTGCATGAATGTATGTTGCTGCTATGAGGGAACTTGTAGACGAAGATGGGTGGGTAATGCACGATGGTAAGACGAAATACTGGGTCTCATTCCTCCACATATTGGTAGTCTAATCATGAGCAAACCTTAGGTATCTATGACTAAGACGAGTCAAGCCATGTCGACTCTAAAATACATGCTGGACTCTAATTGGACTCGGAAGTATGGAATAAGATAACGGTAGCTCTTGTGGGAGATGAGCGAACCGCGGCCTACCAAAGGCCATCTAAACACATATCTAGAGTTTATTGTACGATGAGAGAAAACAGCACTGGTTGTAGGTAGTCTTCGCGCGAATCGATCAACTTGTAGGAATATCAGGCCACTCTTGGGTGAAATGCTGCTTCCTGACTCAACTCTAATCCTCCCGCCATGACTGGAATAAGGCTACCGTATGGCAGAGATATGTGCAATCGTCATCGTGTATACAGGCCCTAATATTGTTCCACGTTTGTTGCCAATGCCATCCAAGATCAAGCTGACGCACAACCTTTTGGGTTCGCTGGAACATTAGTTTGATCTCATTTGTCACGTTACATGCAAGGGGGTTGCTCGAAGAAATTGTATGTTATATAACCAGCCTCCAATGATGTGCCTTATCCAAGACACATGTGGCTTCAACCTATTCAAACAGATTTCCTTTGGCCCGATATCCAAATGTTGTAGATATCGCATCCTTCGCCGACCGAATCCTTCTTGAAAGTGAAGTAAAATCCGAGAAGATATATGCAACGGAGGGATAATCTTACCGTGATGCCTTGGAATTCAACTCTGGTACAGCTTTGACACCGAGACAAACCTTTACCGTTCTTGACTCCCACTCCATTCCTATTCGTCTAATCTCAACCACCGTAAAAGCTCGACAATTTCATCCACCGTAGTTGAGTACGCACGTGACGTACTGTCGAGCTGATTAATTTCTTCCTGATAATTGCCTTCAGTCGGGGTTCCTTGAAGAAAGAGAAGACCAAGTCGATCAAGATGGTGGCGGAGCCACGCCCTGAATTGAGCACGAAGAGGGTCTGCTATCGGATACAGGTGGATGCACCTCCTAAGCAACTCGACCTCAGAGACAATGACCCCACGGTCCATAGGGCAGGTCAGTTCTCGCTTATCGCTTCGTTGGGTGTCAAACCATTGGAACAAGCATGCGTAGTGGTACACGTGCCGGCATCCTTTGGGTCGAACTGCATGAAAGTCAGCGGGCGGATTGTTCTCTGGTGATAGGCTGGGATCTGCGGTGACAGCGACCTCTTGGCAGATGGGACATGTTGCGCCCACAGTCTTTGCGAAGTAGTCGTCTCCGAGATCCTCAAGTTCAGCGGCCATCAAACTCTCGAGGAGTTTGGCCGGGGTGAAGGCGCTCTTCGCCTTGTTGTATGCTGCCGAGTCCGTAGACATGGTTGATTAGAGAAGATGATCCTAATGTAGCCTTCAAAAGTAAAATTGAGGATTGTTTGTGATGGATTAAGGTGTCTGCTTGGAGGTTGATGCAGGTTATAGGAGTAATGGGTTATGGGAGGGGTGTGAGGGCGTACGACGATGTTATATACTCGCCGTGTAGGCCTCTCGATAGTGTTGCCTGGGTAGCCATTGTGACTCCGTAGATAAATTGAATAACAATATAGCTGCCTAAGCGACATGCAAACGTTCTGTAGGAGTGAAAATCTTGAAATAACAATTGTAGGTTCCATTATATTTACCTCTTGAAGCAACACTCCTCCATAATTATCGTGTCCGTTTTGTTCAATACCGGGGCATGCTTTCAGTGCCTGAAATGAATTGGGGCGAGTTTTAAATGTGCATGTCATGACATTGCTCTCGATCAACATGCAATCATTCGACTATAAAACAAGCTGGGTTTCAAATCTTTATTCTGCAATTCGGTTCACAAAGGGTGTCATAAAGTGTGCACATCATGAATTCGCATGCGTATGCGGCACCAACAGAAGCCTTTCACTCGAAGATGGACTACGTTCACTAGCCATTGGTATATAGCACCTGGCTTCCTACACGGCACACCACACACACCTCACACACCCCACATCTACCCCATCAGCTCATAACCAACCAATATCGGCGATCATGGCCAATCGCGAAGACAGGGTTTCCAGGCTAAAGGAGAAGATCATCGAAGATTCCTTTGACACTGTTGTCGAGGAGCTATCTTCCAACTTCTTCACTACGACGAACTCGGTCGGTACTATCTGCAAGGAGACATTCCCAGATGGTGACACCTCTGCCACACTCGATGAACGTGTTGTCGAGACAAAACGCTGCCACAATGTCTATCATCGAGAATGCCTAGCCCACTAGGCCCAGAACGCCGGCGTGAAGAACGGCGTCGCTTGTCCGCTAAACCGGAGAATACTCAAGAGCAACATAAACCATCATCTTTTCGGGATGATTCAAGGGCTGTAGAAGGACACGGTTGTGCTAGAACAAGGTCTGGCTAGTTCGCAAAAGAATCGACCAGCTCATCCCGAGCTGTCAGCCCTGATTTCTCGACATCTTTCCCGAATTGAAAAGTGCCGAGGCGGTCTCTTCAAGTTGGGGCTAGCAAAGAAACTATTATTGGAGTTGGCTTTGAGTCTCTTAGGCCCGCACTGAATGCACCGAATGAGAAGAAGTTATGAAGTGATGGCGTCTTGTTTATATGGACGAAGGGCAATTTCATGGCGCCTCGGGAACCGGCATGCCATGGCTCTACAGAAAAGGATATGTTCCAGAGGGTGGTCTAAGAGGGGACATGCTCTATATTCTTGAGATCGAACTGGAGCCTCAGAAAAGAGCAACAATGAATACATCACATTTTAAGTAATTAGATAATCTCACAGTTGAAAACTTCTGGTTCTCCAATATCTTCTCATATCACAGTATTCATAGGCGTAATAGACAGTGTTGCAGATAATATCAGATCGAGATACGGCGCAGAATTGAGATAGCTGTTCACAAGCATATCTAGAATGGGAGGGATCTATTGGCTGTTAATTGTGAACGAGCCTCGGGAAGTTGGTGAAGTCGTGAATTCGAGTGAAACAGAAGGCACATGCTTAGGCATCAGCCTCTTGACAAACGAAGAAAAATTGCGTCATTGTTACTGGACGCGCTTCCTGTAGGTTTGCAGTCTCGCCGACATCCTACTAAGACCTGCTCGTCTACCCCCACCCCTCTTCCAACACCCCAACCTCACCTGGGCACCTCACCCGCCCGACAGGGAAAAGCCGCACCATCGATTTACGGAATCCAATCCGGCATCACAATCCAGCGTCGTGCCCACAAGGCTGTATATTTTCCAGACCGCATTTCAAGTCCTGCAACTATCGCGCAAATGGAGCATTTCAACGATGATGTACTCTGGCCGGACCCTCCTCCATTAATAGAGAGAGAGACCACAATAATCAACAGAAGTTTGGCCAGTCTTTTCACTCGGCGAACACCTCAAAATTCTACGGCAGTTCTTATACAATTCTTCTGTAACGGTGCTGAAGCTGTCCCAAACAACTACTTCGAAGCCACATCGACCGTATGTCCTATCTGCCAAGAGACCATCCCAGAAGGCGATCCTACTTTGTACAACGGGGTCGTCAAGACGACTCTATGTGGGCACACATACCATCACTTGTGTCTCCACAGTTGGCTCGTTACCGGTGCGCGCACATGTCCACTTGACCGTCAGGTGCTTTTTGGTCTGGAAGAGAGTGAAGACGATTTCATCCACCTGCTAGATCTCTGGGACTCGGACTTTTCGGATGACGAGTGGTCGGATATTGAGGCTGACATAGTGAATTATCTAGCTAATCATCGGATTTCCCTTGACGAATTCCACGATGAGATGGCGAGGCATCTTCGTTACTTTGACGTGGATGATGAGGTGCAGGATCAGGCAACTTCTGCGGTGGAAGACGATGACCTACCGGTTCTACAGACACAACGGGAGCGAGAGGAAGAAGTTGACCAGGAGGTCGGAAATAGAACAAGCAGCTCTGTTGTCTACGAACCAAATCTGGAACCGTTCCCTCCTCAGGACGCACAAGAAGATCCGAGGGGTATCTGGAAGTATAGAGATTATGAAAGACCGGAAAGTGATTCTGAGTCTGATCTCTAAGCGCCACCAGATGGGTTGAGATACTTCGCACACGGATCATTGGGGCATATAGAAACTAGTGGGGTAATGTGTGATTTGGATGCAATGAAGCGCCCAGTACTTAACAGTTCTCCTCT